CATTTTGCCCTCGCCCCGAGGGTAGTGAGGACCTTTCAGAGTGATTAAACCCGCAGGGAGGAAGGAACCAGAAGGGATGGAGCTGCAGACATCCATCTTAAAAGCCTGCTAGGTACCTGCACTGGCTTGCAGGGTGCAGGAGAGCTTGCTCTCCCCGTCGGCTTCAGGAGAGAGATTTGTAATTCTGTGCTGGGGACTTAGGAGAGAACCAGGGCATCTTCATTAACAGCCCTAAATACTTGAGCAGCCTGAGATCCCTGCAGAGCTCTGGCTGGCTTGTTTTGGTAGGCAGGCACTTACCTGGCCTTAGGGACGCACAGGGGTTTAGCTGGGAAGATGTCCCTGCTGCTGCCCGGTGTCACCGAGGCCTGATTCAAAGTCCACCAGGATGCCTTTTGCTCCATTCAATGCCCCAAAATCCTGCCCTCGTTCTCAGGATGTCCTGCAGCAGGGGGGTCATGGCCATTCCCTCCCCAGATCCCCAAAAAGCTGCCCAGCCCCATCAGCCTGGTCTGAGAGCGGGCAAAGATTTGCAAACCAAAGCCAATTTTCTTGTGATGGAGATATCTGGGTTTTCCAAAGCTGGTTCTGCACCAAAGCCTGTCCCGGAGCCTTGTGCAGCGCTGGGCACACAGACCCACGATTCCCCCAAGCCTCTTCCTTCCCCTCTCCCTCCCTTTCTCATACACCGATCTCACCAACGCAGAGATGGGTCTCAGCAGGACATTTCATTGATGGTTTGGTTTTTTTCCACCTCATTTCCACATAAAAAAACCCCAGGTCAAATGCTCCCATGGGTTCCCCAGCCTTTGGCACCATTCAGAAGGTGCAAAGCACCAGGCTCTGCCCTGCCCAGGGCTCTGCTCCGGCATCGGGAGGGAGAAGGGGTTTTGGGCACTGCTGTACCAGGCAGAGAGCTCACCTATACCCTGCAGCAAAATTATCCAGCAGAACAACAGCCCTGCTTGTCCAGCAGCCTCCAGGCTTTGAAGTAAAGCTATTTTTCCAAACCCACATGATTACAAGCTCAGAAGTTTCCAAATATAAGGCTTGCTGGGTTTGCGTTGGACCGATGCTGCTTTTCGTCTTGGTTCTTTCCCCAAAGGGTCTCTAAAGGATGAGCGGTGCAAACCCGGCCTTTGGCAGAGAGTTCAGCGCAGCCGCTTAGCGAGCAATGCTGAAAAGCAGATGAAATGTGGCTGTGTCAATCTAAGACTGATGAGAGCTAAAAAGGGCATTTCCTCAATTTAATAGTAAAAGCAAAACTGCCCAGCACAACGGTTTGCCTTTTCCCAGGCACTAAGAGCTCAAGCTTTCCCATGAGGAGATTTAGGGGAAGGAAAGACGTCTCTCCTGGTGAGCAGGAGAGCCTGGGCAACCCTGTCTCTTCCCAAAGCGATGCCCTCCTTCAGGTTGCCAGGACTTTGCCTCATGCCCTCCGAATAAGCATGGGGAGAGGAACAAGTCCCTGCTGACTGGTGAGCATCTCCATGGGGGTTCAGGAGGAAAGACTCAGAGAGCAGCTGACCTGGGCCAGGCTAAGGAGATCCCATCCTGCCTGAGTGCTGCCAACGGGAAAAAAATGGGTTGAAGCACTTCTTCTTGCTAGGATTTATTCTGACGTCCATTTCGTCAATCGGAAGGCTGTACTTGGCAATTTATGGGTGCAAAACACAGAGTAAATTCTATTTATACCAGAATGTACCATTCTTCTCAAGGCTGTGTATTTTTGCAATCCAATTAAATACTCTTTTTGTCTAACTCTCCCAATTCCCTCTAGGGCAAAATTAGGAATTATCTGGATCCCCGCTCTGAGGAGTTGGACTCTTGCTTAAAACATCACTTTCCAAATCATGGGTGAAAACCCCACAGAAAGGGAAATCGCATTATCCCATGGACAAAGAAACACTGATATGGGCCATCCTGATTTGCGAAGCGTTGGCTTTATTTTATGGTTGCAGAGCCTTACATTTAATAAAAACCACAAGAATCTCTCTCCTTCAAAGTATGGAATATATAGTATTTATTCAAACTTTGAGAATATATATATATGTATAATATTGATTATATGTATGCACTCGCAGAATGCATGTGCTGTTTATAATGTTATTACACAAGTAAGTGTATACAGGTGGAGTATATCTGCGTGTGTGTATAAATATACGTACACACACCAGTGTATAGGTGCTTCACAGAAGTATATATAAGACATAATATGGATCTACTATAAGTGAGGCATCTCCCTCATGCTAAGGGCTGGGATACTTGTTTTCCTCTTCTGTGCTGTTTGGAATTTTCCCCAGGTCATTTCAACTTTCTTCTTGAAGGCGTCTTTAGCCGAAGATGACTAAAGGAACAGTCTTCATCCTAGAGAAATGTCAAAAAGTCCTGGAGAAAACCCTAAAAAGCGTTAAAAGACAAGAACAAGGAGTGTGTGCTGCTTAATGAAGCGGAGAGACTTTGAGATTTAAAATACCATGGCATTTGCGAAACGGCGTAAAGGAGAATGACAAGCAGGAGACAGGAGGACCTTCCCCGTGAGAGAGGTTTAGGGAGGACAAGGTTCACTTGGGTGGTTTCTCTGCAGCGTCTTCCCTTCTACTTTCCATCCAAAATTATCACTGGCACAAAGGAAGGAGCATCGTGCTTCTAGAAAGCACCGGAGGCTTCAGCCAAGCGCACTCTCAGCGTATTCCTAACCCTGAAAAGCTGACCTCCCTGAGCCAAAAGCAGCCCCGCTCCTCAGTACCTTCACTGTATTCCTACTCCAGACAATACCAGTATAACATGGGCACTCAGACCAGTCTCCAGCTGGCAGCATCTCTGCTGGCCACTCTGACAAGCACTGCCTTGGCTCCGCCAAGCCGTCCCTGGCTACCAGATTCACCCGCTGTGTCCTTTCCACACAAGGTGGTGACATGGGGGGGGTCCTGCCACCACGGGGCTTCCCGCACGTTTCTGTGCAGATCTCACGCATGTTGCACCAAGTTGGGTTGACAACGCCGAGATGCGGCGTCTTGGGGAAATGCCGTCCCCTTCCAAGGCTGTTAGCACAGATCCAGGACCTCCCCGAGCCCAGGGCAGTCACAGCTCTGCTGTGCACCTCGGGAAGGCACGGGGTGAAATGGCTTGGCTGTGAAAAATGGCAAATCTGCACTGAAACCTTAATTTGGTGACAAAAGCTACTGGATCCTGGCTCTCTGACCTGCTCTCTCCTCTGTGAGCAGAAGGCAACACGCACTCGAGTGAAGCAAAGCAAACAAATCAAGCCAGAACTGAGGCTTTTACATCTCTTTTTATCTTCCTACAAGGCAAACTCAGGCTGGGGTTGAGTGATCTTAACCAAGCCGGCTTGTCCATCCTCAACATGGAGCTAACTGCTGAAGCTTTGTTACAGAGGACAAGCCTTTTTTAAAGGATAGCAGAGCAGGACAGTGATGCCTTGAAACTTCAGAGAGCCAGGAAATTTATGATCCCAGCACCAGATACCTAACTATTCCTGTTGTGATTGAAGGTAATAATGACAAAAAGTCCTCTCTCGCTTGACCCAGACTTCTGCAGAAACACCAAGCTCTATGAAGCGTGGCTGGCTTGTAGCTCCAGTAGCTGAACTCAGAGCATCAGGTCAAGGAGTTTCAAGTTTTGCCTTAGTGCATCCTTCTGTCTCTAAATTGGAAGGAAAAACAAACTCCAAGGGTGACTGAGTCCCTGTGGAGTACCAAGGAAAATAAACTTGCAGGGTAACAACCCAGCAGGGCGAGGATTTATTGGCGTTGTTGCTTAAATGCTGTACTAAACATCTGCAAGGGCTGAAAACGGAATGAGAACTGGATCCCCCACCTGGAAGTCAACACATTCTTCCATTTGATCCTAAGTAACATCATCACACCCAAGGCCCCCTCTCTGCTGCAAATTCATAATTACTGAGTGATGCAATGATGCAACACTCCTAAGAAATTAGTCTCCATATGTGAGATGAGCCAGGATTCAGAGGTGCTGGAGACGTACATGAGTCTCTAGGAAAACATTCCTAAAATGCCGGCTGACAGATCACACTGGGGCTGTGGTTTCTGTCTGGTGTCTGTGTGCAAGGGTCCTGCATTACAGCACCCACTTTCTTACTGGGAGGCCAAACTAGGGAAAAAGCCTCAGAGATCACCCTAACTTCCCACTGAAACAGAAGGTTTCTCCACAGCAGGGATTTGTAGGTCAGGACAGCTCAGCTCTAGTGTGACTGCTCCAGGGTAGAGCAGAAAGAAATAAAATTTAAAAAAGTGTGGCACCTATCGAGTAAGAGCTGTTGAGTACCAGAGCTACTGGAGGACGCTGAGATGCTGCTTGAGCAGGAAATCTGCATTTAGCAAGCAGTTTAGGAAAAGCCCAGAGCAGCTGCAAAGCACGAGACCAGCCAGACTTCCACTCACCCCCTGCTACAACATCAGCTGTGAGAGGCAATGTCACGTTTAAGGTAATCAGTCAACCCCCATGTAACGATACAAGTGAGTTTTACACACTATCCCGGAGTACGAGGAGGAGCGGGAACAAGGAGCATCAAACACCACAGGCTATGTGCCAAAGCGCTCCAGAGCGGGTATCGGGGTGACTGGCGCTGCTGCTACGCACAGCGGGTTTCAGCATCTGATGGTCCAAGTGCAAAGCATTCCTTACCTTCTCCCAGCGTGCTCACCACTGTGACTTCTGAGGCTTTGCTGGCACCCCGGGAGGTGTAAGCCTTTATATAAAAGCTATAGCTGGTTGAGGGCTCTAAATCAGTCACTAGCTGCTGGAAGGTGCTCTTGCTAACAGCCTCCTGATACTCCTTCTCTACAGGATCTGAAGCACAAAGAAAGAAAGAGCAGAGGGGGGTTAGGCTTTGCAAGAGGTAAAGAGACTAAACAGATGTTGCAAGCAGTAATTTTGGTCCCAAAGGTGGATATGTATCTGCCCACATCCTCTTCTGCTTACATTTCTGTGTGCTTTGTCAGAGACCTAAGTGGGCAGCAAGATTTGGCTACGTGGCTTCACCCTCCCCACCCTTTTGGTATTTACAGCAGCATTACTGCCTCATCTCTGTCTTTCAGAAACAGGGAGGTGATGGAGAACATGGGTGGTAGCACTGCCTACTGCAGTGCAGACTTGGTTTACCTACTGGGCTGTGTTGCTGAATGACAGTAGGCTGAGGATGCTCTGGGCAGCAGGTAGAGCACCATACCTGCAGCTTTCCGAATGTGCAGCACGTAGCCGATGATCTCCTTGGTGTTCTGCAGAGGCTTTTCCCAAGACACCTGGATGGTGGTTGCAGAGACCGTCTCAGCCTTCACGCTCTGTGGAGGACCGGGCAGCCCATCTGCCCACAGGACCGTCAGGCGAGCACTGGCTTGCGTGGAGCCGGCACTGTTCTCGGCGATGCACTGGTAGATGGCTTCATCTGCCTGGTTGATCCCATAGATGGAGAGAGTGCTGCGTGGGGACACGAGGGGGACAAGCATGTCACTGAGCGCTCTGCCGCGGACGTCCCTCCCTGCCAGCCATGCCATGGCCCCCATGCTGGCTCTGATGGCAGGGCATCCCACACGCCTCTGTTTCCATAGAAAGCTTCCAGGAAGCTGTGGGCTGGTGCTTTTGGGGAAGGAAAAGCTCAGGAGGTGGATGCACCATTCCCTAGATCCCGTGAATGGGCAGATTCTCTCTGTCCCCACTTGCAGAGACCATGGTTCAAGTACAGCCAGATGGGGACATAGGGTGGGATGGGGAATGGCAGGACCTGAAGTCCCACATTCAGGAAGATCCTGGCCACTCTAGAGAGAGAGCTCTGTGGCAAGTGCATCCACACACCCAAACCAGCTTTAACTGGCTTAGTTCCAGTACACACCAGTGAGACCCATCCAGGCACCACACATGATTGCTAAGCCAAGTCTAATCAAGCACAGCCAGAAAGCCCTCTGGTGATGCTCTAATTGCATTATAGCACATTAGAGCAGTCTGAGGGTAACATTGGGATTAGCTGATTTATCCGGCAGGGTTACATTTTCAGAAACGTGATCACCATGAGCCAAAAGCCAAAGCTTATGAGCAAGTCACAGGTTTTGTCTGCAAAACCTCTGAGCATGTTTTTGATCCTGGCGCATCAAAGCTTGCTCTCCCAGGGCAGCAACCAGAGCTTCCATTCTGCTCTCGGGGGCCTCCACATCAGGCTTAGATGCTGTTTTCGGCCTCCAAGATAAAGACAGGCACTGGCTACCCTGGTGGAAAACATCCCTAAAGGAGGGAGAAAAGCCAGCCAGGTACCGGCTTCCCAAATGAGTGCGTCCCTGAGCACGGTGCCCGTCTCCGCACCACCTCCAGGCGGGATGTTTAGTGGCTTGATGGGCACAGTGACAACCAGAGTCCTTGCACATGTGGCCACGTGAACTGAAGACCCTTTCTGCACTGCAGGACCTTCCAGCAATGTTGTGTACAACTGGAGCAAGTTCAGGGCCAGCCCAAGGGCTGCACTGCCCAGTATCTTTAAAATAATGCCAGCAAATATTGACTCAGAAATAACTGTGCAACACATTAGCTCTATCTTGCCATTCAGCATGAAAAACAGCTTTTCTTAATAACATTTGTTCACAAACAGGGACCCATCAATGAAAGCCCTGCTCTCTCCAGGGCTTGCACCCTTCCTCAGGAACCACGCCAGGAACAACGCAATTCAATTTGTAACTATCCAGCAAACACAAGGCCACCTAAATAAATACCCCGTGTGTCTCCCTTCCAAGACACGGGGTGGGGAGTCTCCCCACACTGTGTCCAGCTCCGAGCTGGAAATGGAAAGGCAGCCTTTGACACTGGATATGTTTTTACCAACGCTGAGGCAGCAGCTCACGTTATGATAAACTATGCTTACGATGCCCTTAGTCCTGGTAGGGTGTTCTCACAAACTGGGCATCTTGGGGAAAATTTCAGAAATAAAGGTCCAGTAGGGTCCCAGACCGGACCACTTAAACCTGGAGACAGCTTTGACACCACCGTAAATGGCAGCACAATTGTATACATTACTGCAAATTGTGGGATCGACGAGTCCTGTAGATAGACTACAGGATATACCCCCACAGCACTGAATAAAACACCGCTCACCACTGCCTCCGCTTCCATTTTAGAGCATCACCCATATGTCCACCTCTCTGGATTAATCCCTATTAGTGCATCTGTATTTCCAGACCTGTTCAGTTCATTTGAACTGTGGTTTGCTTCTGGCTCGGCATGAAGGTTTGGGAGATCACGATGCCTCCAAGCTTCAGCATCATCTTGTTGGCTTATGCCAAAGCTTGCTTGAGCTTTTTGGTTGCTATTTTTCTGTAAGAAATGACCTGAACCTTACCAAATTCACATCCATTGCTTGCTTCTAGGAAGAGATAAATTATTTTCTTCTCCCGCAGAGAATTCCAGGTGGACCTGGGACTTGACTGCACATCAGTAAATCCCAAGCATCCCTGCTGATGCGAGGGGCACTTCATGGCTTTTGGGGAGTCATAATCAAAGCTGGCCCTTTTATGTAAATGAAAAATTGTACATGGAAAGTGGAAATGATAAATAACCTGCCACTGCCTGCCTGTATGTCAGAACGAATGCTTCTTCTAATTGCAGCAAAATATTGGTCTTCCTATATTAAAATTTATTATTGCTGTTGATTTAACATTCATATTTCTGTCTTGCAAATTATCGAGGCCATGGTGAGCGAGCAAATGTTTAACAGTCATCTATTTATGCCCTGTGCCTTTGTTTCCTTGGAAACATTGTAAATGGAATATCAAATGTGATGGTTTCAGCTGATATGGTGATTTTAGAGAATCAGGCCTAAGCCTCTCTCATAGCCACAGGCTCAACGTATCTGATTAAATGGAAGGGGAAAGGCAGAGTTGGGGGGGGGGCACAGGGAGGAAGGACCCGATGTGTGGCTCAACTGTGTCAACAAGGGCTGATTCCTGTGAGGACAGATGGCAGAAGGCAGGATTACGCCATCCGAAAGCTGTACTTGCAGCTCTGCACAAAGCAGATGTGTGGAAGGAGCAGCAGCGCTTCCTTCTGCCCCGTCAATGCAGGGATTATTTCCACATTGGCTGCTGTGCATCTGGGCACCCAGGAGCTGCCAGGCTGGGCTGGCACACAAGTCGAGAGCAGCGTTAAGCTTCCCAAGCACAAAGCAGCCCAGGAACAACGAGGAGTATTTAGGCTTCTCCTCCTCCAAGCGTATTTATTTGCTTTACATGGAGAGAGGAAAAGATGCGTAGGAGGGAAGAGGGGAGCCTGGCTGGAAAGCAGTGTAAGGGTACAAGGAGCCTGAGGGCAACGGCGTGATGCTGGGGCCAAAGACATCTCTCTCCTGGGAGGACTGGGGGGTAACTCCTCTCGTGCAACACAGATGATGTGCTGGATGCAAGCGGTCCTGGAGTAGGACAGCACTTGGTCACCGGGACCCGGAGTTGGGCAGAGCCTCGGACATCCCAGCTGCTTCTCCGCAGAGGTCTCAGGGTGGCTAGTAACACTGACATGCCCAGTCAAGTCAGAAGAAATAAATAAATTTCCACAAAGTGGACATGGCAGGTAGCGGGAAACTTGCTTCAGGCTTTGAAAAGTTCATTTTCATTGAGATTTACAAGGCTGTGTTTGGATGTACCATGCAGTAAGAGCCTTGGCCATCCGTTACCTAGGGCCCACATTACCTGGAACGATGTGCAGGCAACGGGGTCAATAAAACAACTGGATTTTTGGCTATGCCTATAAACCCGGGTAAGGAGCAGAAACCGAGTGCGGAGAAGTTGGCGAGCAGAATGCCCAGCTTGAGGAGAACAAGGGTTTTCTCTCTCTGTGTCGGTCCCTGTGACACCCGCAGGCAGACCTCTAAGGGAGGCTGCTGAGCTCCCCGTGAGCCCCGGCGTGAGCTCTGAAGCACGCTGGTAGCTGTGATGGGGAGGGCAGGAGCTGGCAGTGAGTTACATGAACCTCAGCATCATCCCAGCTGATACCTCTGCTGTGCGTCCATTTTCATCTTAACTACTGACAAATTCTTCCTGCCTTTGCCCACCGCATCACCCCCCCCCAGGACGCGGAGGATGCGGCGTGGCAGGGTCAGTGTTCGGCCCAGCAGCTTTCCCAGGTTTTGCTGCTTTTTGTTCTTTCTTTTTTTTTTTTAAGGAAGCTCAAACAAAAGGAAAATATGTAGTTGCTGTGCGAGGAGGCGCAGAGTGTCTCTGCACGTCAACCATCTGAAATATGCAGTGTCCTTTTATTTCCTCCCGTCAACAGGAAAAAAAATCTGTCACTTTGGGACATCTGCTGTTGGAAAACTTTCCCGCGAGTGCCAGACTGGCAGCGCCGTGAGCACGTCAGACGAGGCGAGATGCCAGAAGGCTTTTTGCTGGTCACCAAAGCCGCTCAGCGAGCCGAGGGCTCCATCACATCTCCGCACAATGCCCTGACAGGCATTGATGGAAGTGGGGAGAGGAGCCGCTGCAGATTCACACCCGGCTGAGCTGAAACGAGAGGCCTCCGTTGCTCGAAAGCCGTGGTATTCCCAAGCTGTCTTCCCAGTTCATAGGCAATCAGGATGACTGATCTGGCTCGGGTCAGGGGTCCGGGCCAGTGACCGGAGATCAGCTTTCCAAAGGCTCCTCTGAAAAAGTCTGAGAACTGAAGGAAGCCTCTTCATCGATTCAGCAGCACAAAGGAGAAGAGGGGCCCATCTGGAAGGCTATCAGCCTGCGCGCGCACACAGGCGCACAAAGGAGGGAGTGTGATGAAATTAATGCAGAGAGCAGGCTGTGGCTAGCGGCGAGAGCATTTTAAGTGCCGGCAGCTACAGAAAGCCACCAGCGCCACGTTCAGCTGCCCCGTCCCCGTGCCCCGCTCTGCCTCCATTTATTATGGGCCGTGTTGTGCCGCGCTGTGTCGAACGAACCGCTCCTGGGCTGCCGGCCGGTGCCGTGCTGGAAGGAAGGTTTTTTTCCCTCCAGTGCTGGTTGTTCACAGCTTTGCAGAAATGCCCTGTATTTTGAAGGTTGCCTCGTACAGGCTGACAATAAGGTGCAAAGCTTGAAGAGTGACACTCAGCAGCCCAGAGGGACACTGCGTATCGTCCCTAGCTCTCTATAAGCATGTTCTTACATCTCCAGAAATTAAATATCATGCAGGGCTTCCTAGGTGAAATTGGGTTGTGTTATGCAGGAGAAGGAACCCTTTCCATACAATCTGGTTCATATTTAGCAGGTACTGCAGCCCGCTGGCCAGGATGCCAGCCTGATTCTCCGGTTACAGCCTCACCCAAGTAGTTTCTGGAGGGATGCTGCTGGTCCCAGCAAGGTGCACAGTGCCCTGGGGAACCAGCCCACCCTCCCTGCTGGTGCCAGATGAAAGGGTCGGCAGACTCTCATCCTGCAAAGCTGGTTAGAGATGCTGCTCCTTCTCACAGCCCTGGGAGA